GACAGGTTTACAGTTATTCTGAATGGTAATGCAATCATGTTAGCAAAATGAATCTGAAAGGGGTCCTGTAATTTGAAAAAATGACCGGTAATGTGCGGGTCTTTTCAAGATGAGTCCAGGCAAGCGGCAACAGCAGGCAAAAAAGTTTTCTTCTTTTATGGTAGGCCTATGTATTTTTGTATCGTCTACAAAACACCGTTATTTTTCAAGTGTTATGGTTGCTTACACAGATACTTTTATTTTTCCCCCAGGCAAGTGTTAGGCACAATTTCCAGATTATTAAACAAAGCAATTATGTATAAACTTCATGTCCTACATTTGACTATTGTGTTGGTCTTTACAGGATGACTTTATAAGACAATTGTCTTTGAATCAGTCGGCCTGTGGGAGGACAATCAAAAGTTTTTCAGATGCTAAGGGGATTCAAACGTGTATTCAAATATGATACTATTAGACAACTATTTAATAAGGTGAATTTCTTAGATAAGGTCAGTGAATGTAGACACCTGCTATTATTACACTTCCCCACTAGAGGGTGCACGACCCAGGCTGAAGTAACCAGAAAGACCAACTGATTTGAGATCTCTAATAATCCCATCTCATATATAAAACACATTTTTCAACAACAAACACCAACGAAGACACCATACCAGCTATGCCTCCAGTGTAGATGCCTTAATGAAGGAACAACTGGCGAGAATATTAAAGCCAAGTCTTTCCAGCATCATACGAGAAGTGCTCATATTGACGCGATCAGGAAACACAACTAGTACACATGTTTATAGTTTCACAGCTGATGTGTGGTGCATCCCACTGAGCGCAGTTGTGATCTGGGCTCCCCCTGCGGTCCCTCCTCCATCAAACGTCAGAAAGTAGCGGTATAAAACACGTGAGGCCACAGCAAGCGCTCAGAGTCGCTTTACCCCGTGAACCTGACAGCCTGCGGTCTGCCTCCGCACGCACACACAATAACGCGGCACTACATTTTAATGAGAAAGAAAAGAGGAGAAATATGCCAAGCCGTGGGACGACTTAAATCTAGTGGATTGAGCAATAGAATGCAAATAAAACTGTGTGTGTTTCTACACATACATTTGTGCCGGATACATTCATATATTCGGGATAGTTTCTGTTGTTCGGGACTTTGAATTGAGTAATGCCTCATGGGCAAACACACACTTGGATTTCTGCTTATAACAAAGGGAACTGCCGCAAGAAAACGAATTAAGTGAGGATTTTTTTCATCATTAGTTCCAAAGAAAGTTGAAACTAACATCAAACGGGCATTAGAGTTTAACTTTACGACTTATTTACACTGACATTGGCCGTTTGTGTATCTGCATATTTTCATTACCGGGCGAACCAAATGCAGAGAGAAAAATGCATTTGGGAAAGGCTTTGCTGTTTGTCCTCCTCCTCAACTGCGCGACTTTGAGCTCATCTCTTTCAACTTGTGCCACTGTGGATATCGACCACGTAAAAAGGAAGAGGGTCGAGGCGATACGAGGTCAGATTTTGAGCAAACTCCGACTGACAAGTCCTCCACACTCCCTCGGACCGAGTGAAGTCCCTTATCAGATCCAAGCGTTGTATAACAGCACCAAGGAGCTTCTGGAGGAGCTGCGGAGGGACCGGCAGCAGAGCTGCGGTCAGGACAACACAGAGACAGAGTACTATGCCAAGGAGATATACAAATTCAACATGGTCTACGGACCGCCAGAAAGCAGTAAGTACGACGATATAAGTATGAGGAAGTTATGATTGTATCACTTTCTTTTTTAATGACAGTAATCAACGTGAATGTAGTGCGTAATTACGCGCCAAATTAAAGCCATCTCAAAAAGTTGCTGCCAAGCATAAACATGAATGGCTGAGTTTAATGCTGCACCCTAAAGAGCCCCTATCCATAAGGTAAAACATTTAAAATCATACAAGTATATAACCTATCCAGATTTACAAAAGGTGCAAACAGTCTTCATTTCAAAAGTTTAACTCTTCGAGAGGAGATGTTTTCTACTAAATGTTACGTTTATTTTCAATATAATCAAGCCTTCAAAGTTCCACATCACAGGCGTGGGAGTTGCAGAGTAGACCTTTCCAGACTAGTTGTGATGTCACACATCTTGTAGTTACACGTGTTCAACTCAGACTTGTGAATGTGAAGTTGAATGTTTGTCAAACTCTGTACATAAATCATCCTGCAGCTCAGGCATCCAGGTGAGGAAACAATAGGGAGTGGGACCTGATATAAATATGAATAATGAACCTACATTCTCTTTAAAAAAACAGAAGACGGTTTTTGATACTGAAAGTTGAACTTGTTGGAGGATGTGCATTGTTACTGCAGTGCTCACCAACCTGTTTTAACTCTACTGTTCCAGGAAAGTGGCTCCTCACTCCCTTCTTCCTCCTCTGTTTTTTTTTTCCCTAAGTGGACTCTGTCCTTCTCCCCATATGTTCCCACTTCCTTTCCAGTCAGTCCCAAATGAGAGGGACATCTGCCCAGGCTGATGGGGATGCCTGTAGGAGAATGAGTAGGAAAAGTTAAGCGAGGTGGACAGGAAAGAAAATTGAGATGATGGAAGGACCTCCCTATTAGTCTGGAGTCTCTGTACGGGAGGAAAGGGGTCCCATACTCTGACACGTCACTACCACCCACATCCCAATCGAGATGGAGATTAAAGTGACCCCACTTCCTGTCTTGGCCAGTGAATAACCCACATGGGTGGCCCATGAGCATGAGATCACTTACCCTGCTCAGGTCTAACGTTGCTAAATTGAGTGTGAAACTGACTGGCATCCATCCTCTTAAACCTGAATAATTCCACTGTGCTGCATTGCACTGCTTGGTTAAAAATGTGATTTGTTTTTGTTTATGAATTATTTAGTAAAGGCCTGTGAGATTCACATTCTTGTGATTTGTGCTAAACTTTATTTGGCACAACTATTTCCTCCTATAGAAATAAAAGCCAGGAACTGGAAGTGGAAAACCTTTGCCGAGGGGGACATGTGTCAGCACTTGAAGCAGATTCATACAGCATGTGGTCCGACTGAGTTTGGATTACGGAGAAAGTAGAATAGGATAAATTCTGTGCGTGAGTAAAAGCCAAAGAGGGCCTCTTGGTTCAGAGCAAAGCCAAGACCATTGCATCACAGTCCCTTTGAAATCAACAGGTGCTTCTCAAAAGACCTCTTTTCCCTCAGCAATGTTCTGTTTTGAATCTCACAAAATAGTGCTGACAAAAATGGCAGGCAGTAGGTGCCCAGAGTTGATGTGGTGGTTTCATTTCTGGATTCAGTCACTGATGGGTTTTATATCGCAAGAAATATCTGCATTCAACTACTTTTTTCTAGCAGTTGGGTAAAGATTGTAGTTTGCTTTTACATTAAGTCCTTCATGCCTGAAGAAAAACAAATAGAAAAAAAGGCAAAATTGTCAATATATCTGCGTAAGTGCTGGGCTGACATACGTGTCTGAATGTGTGTGCATTACTCACTATATACTTCTCAGATACTTAAAATGTAGACCAGCTATTAATATTCTCCAATTTTTACTTAATCCTAAATTGGCATGGCAGTGTGTATTTTTTACGTGTCTTATAAGATCTCATACTTGGAAATATGCATGTTGTCAATACCCTGTATATCTACATGCATAAACTACTCACTGATGCTGGTTAATGTGATTTTCATGAGTAGGAGTAGGAAAGAGGAACAGTTTAGAGTTCAAGAGTTTTTCGTTGTTGTGTTAAACTCCTATTTTACCCTGGGTTTTTTTTCTTCCTCATACAACATTCTTTTTAAATGCTGCTTTCAGAACTTTTGTTCGCATCAACAGCCCCACGTCAAATAATGTTCAGATATCATTTACAGTATTCAAATAAAAAATTAAAAAATCAGTTTGGTGGAATTAGGGAAATATCATGGTTTGGATTTAAATATTGACTTTTTTGATTATGTGTGAATTTTGACTTGATCAATAATACCTACTTCATTTACGTTATTAAAGCTTATTTGTCACAGTGACAATAATAAACACATTGGTCAAGAGATTGATCAATATTATGCCTGAGAAGAAACATTGTCTTTACAATCATGGCACTCTTTAATTGTCTACCATGTTAGAAATGGATGATTTATTGACACAGCCTTCCACACCAACCATTTCTCCTCCCATTTTGCCCCCATCATAATTAACATGGCTGATGGGTTTAGGGCAGTGTTTCTCAAACTTTTTCATACAAATACCATACTCGCGGACCACCTAACTCCACATCCAAAATCACATCGTTTTTCTAGAACAAACTACAAATCGCCTGAAAATGGTACAAACAAGTGGCAACATGTGTGATGAAGGTGTTGCACTGGGCTATATCATGCAATCGAAAGCTGAAACTTAAGCTCGCTCCATTGCGGAGATATTCCCGCGAGAGTGCGGAAAACTTAAATAAATAAATGTATTTCAAATGTGAAATTTTACCAATATACTCACGGGCCACTAGGGGGCGCTTACGGACCACCAGTGGTCTGCGGACCACACTTTAAGAAGCACTGCTCTAGGCCAACCTAAAAGATGGCCTTGTGCTAATTCAAAACATAAAGCCAGTGGGATTTTTTTCACCAGATTTGGGATAATAGCAGAAAGTAACTGTATCAAACAACAGTCTTGGAAGCAGCCAACTTTTTAAAGACATGTTAATACTTCAAAATTCAAGTTTGGGGTATTCTGTATTTCTTACAATGCTACCAATGTAGAAAGTTACCAAATGTCTTGATTTTCAAACTCATTCCCGCAGCACTCTTATCTGCTCTTTTGTTTAGATGATTTACCCGTAGTGCTAAATATTATCTTTCATACTTTGCTGACAACGTATCTAAGGAAGATACTTAAGGTGTTTGTAAAACATGGGAAATAATTGTGATATTACGTACATTTGCTTTGGTAATGAGTATTATAATAAGCTTTTAAAGTATACTTAAGCTATACAGTAATATGGTTTCTCCTGTGCAGGGCTTGAGTTTGCGATCACCCAGCTGAAGTCTGTTGTCCTGGCGATCGGGGTGATTGACAGACATCTGAGTGTGGAACAGGCTGTGCTGCTCTCCAGACTGGAGGAGGAATACCAGGTAGGGGAGTAGCAGATTACAATTTGCAACCACATTTTTTTTATTCAGCGTTGTTTACCATATTTCTTTACTAACCATAAACAAATGAGACCTAGTGTTTCTGACAATCCTGAAAAATCCCATCACTTCTCTTGCTATTACAGTCCTTGCTTCTGCGGTAAAAGTTTTAAGTGGCTCAATTGAAGAGCTGTTGGAAGTGTTTTTCTTTTCTCTTTGCCAAGAAACTCAAAAGGTTTGCTTTTTTCTGGAAGAACGGCGCCCTCTTCTGTTTTCTTTACATTTTACCCATGAACCCTATGCTGGTAGCTGTTAAGATAAGATGGTACTTTATTGATCCCAATATCATCATCATCATCATTATCATTTGTTCTATCTTTTACAGCTGTATAAAGTTGCTTCAGTGTAACAATGAAGAAACACTAAGGATGACATGGTGCTTGTCCTGCAGAGAGTCTTATTATTTTCTGTATAGTCATCTTACATTTTTTTTTCCCCCTCCTGCACAGATAAAATACTGGGGAAACGTGGAGTGGGCCCATGACTACGAAAGTTATGAGCTGAGGGCACGGACTGCTGCTGGAGCTCTTTTTGTTCACCTCTCATCTGAGAGTTCAACTGTCAAACGCAAACTTATGCAGAATTGAAAAGTGTGTGCGCCCTTAAACTGAGAACACCTCAGTTTATCCATGCTTCTTCATCCATTCAGACAAACACACATACACCCTGCTTGTTCTGTTTAGCAGTGACAGCTGCTGTGTCTGTGATCTGTTATAGAGTCATCTCACTCCAGTGAAAACATTGGCTATCTTTCTGCAGTGTTTATACGTGGCAGCTGCCAAGTGTGCCACCCCTCACCGAGTTTCCAGCCGGTTCTCAGTCGCCCGTGACATTTTGGGCACTGCGCATGGTTTCAGGAGGATTATGACTAATGCTGTTGTCTATTTGGTGGATGAATGTTAACTCCATGTCTGCCTTCTGTCTGCCACATTTGAATACTGCAAAGTGCATATGCTATTGTAATAGGAGCAACAGATGGAACATACTGCATTCCAATTATTTTCTGTAATTTAAATTCATTCATGTTTTAGGTATTTTGGCTTTTTTGTGGTAACTAATGAGGTAAAAGATCATGTACATGGATTAGCATCATCTCCACTTCACAGTTCTGTTTCTTCAAAAAGTAGTATTTAAGCAGAAAAGTATATTTTCTGCATCCTCATACAGTAGTCATGTTCACATACAGTGCTGAAGGTGTTGTTGCTTTCCCGACTGGAAATAAATTCAAAGAATGGCTTGTTTGTCTGTGCCCTTTCCACCTATTGTAAGCAAAATGTCAGTAAACTTTATTGTGAATTAAAACCCCAACAATTCAAAAGACTTGTAGATGTCTGTCATTAATGTGCATATTCAATGTCTGTATCATTTCGAAGGAGTGCTACGGTCATAAAAAAGCAATTTCATTGGTATTTTATTTACAATTAACCCAACTGTCATGATGGATGTTCTAACCGTCCAATCACACTAAAGGTCAGGATCTCTTAGCCAATGACGTTGCTCTGTAGGCGGGACTTAAGGGACGTTTCGTCATGTATCATCATCCCATGGACTGACTTGTTTGTTGTCGAGCAAGATGGAGTTCCTTTTGGGAAATCCTTACAGTACCCCTGTGGGGCATTGCATTGGTATGTAAACCAGATGTTTAGGAAGCGACAACTCGCAAAGGTTGATAATTATGTCCTGGAAATGTGTATTATATTGTGCGGTAGTCATTAGGCGTTACGGCTAGCTACATTTAGCATGCTAAGGTCTCTGAATGAGTTACAGCTGGACCGTTAGCCGCCTAGCTAACTAACGTTGGTGGTTAACCGTATCATGTGTTGTCATTGTGCTAGCGATACCTACAAAGACTTGATGTCTGTTTTCTTTCAGTATATACTCGTATATTCACTGTTAACAACAATAACGAAGTCAATAACCTAAAGGAGGACTGTAAGCTACGTTAGCTTAAGCTAGCTTGCCGCTTGTCACCGCCTTATAATTGGTCTGCTGTGTTTACCTTAGTCGTCCTTAAAGGTTATTTTCGTAACTGACTACAGTACTTGTCTTTTTCCAGAGAGAGCTACTGATGGCTCTCTGCAAAATGAAGACTGGACCCTTAATATGGAAATATGTGACATCATCAATGAAACAGAGGATGGGTGAGTACCCTGGGAAAGAAAACCAATGAATATCCTAATGTTATTGATTAACTATCTTCTTATATACACAGGTGCGGTTCTGTCTTCCTTGATCCTATGCTGTTGATATACTACATTGCTGTAGAAATATATATTATTAAAGTATTTTCTTAATATGTGTCCTAAGAGAAGAAGCCCTGGCTTTGTAAAGTGGATTTATGTCAGGCCTCAGTGCTTATCTCACTCCTCCATTAACCTTGTACTGGATGTTTTGAGCTGGCTAGGCACTGTTTGAATAGTAGGTTGTAAACTGCCTTAGCTGGTTCTAGTCTAATGCAGTGGACCATACAGTATATCAGCAGTCTATAAAAAGATGTCTGATTCTACTGTTTTTCTTCTCTCTGGGGAACGTAAGGGGTGTGATTCGCACACTACTCCGAGGCTGTTTTGATTTGATAACAGTGGTGAAATAATCCAAAAGTTAATTATTACTATCATATAGATTAACAGACACATTGTCAATATTGCAGAGCATGTAAAAAAAGTCAAAGAATCATTGATATGTTCTTTTGCCTGGTATTTGCTGTTTTGCTGTTGTGTCCTATCATCCTATCAGGGCCATTTACAAGGGCCATTTACAAATGCCATTTAAGCCCACACCCATTATGTTTTTGGCAGGCGTCTGTGCTCTGCTTCGAATGACTTACCAAGAATGTAAAACATGTGGCAATCCTTTTATTCCACAGTGTGTTAAATATGTGCTTTTCTGTTTGTGTCTGCAGGCCAAAAGATGCCATTAGAGCAGTGAAGAAGAGGTTGAATGGCAACAGGAACTATCGGGAAGTGATGTTGACTTTAACGGTGAGTGGGCTAGAGGAAGCTTTATTTACATGTTACAGTAATACAAGTATTCATGTTGTCTTGTTCTCTAACGCCAAAGTTCACTGAGAATTTGCAATCCAAAATATAATTCCATTGCATTTCTGCAACACTCGGCCACACAAAGTGATTAATGAATGATTCTCTTCTGCATCCATCAGGTCCTGGAAACGGGTGTGAAGAACTGCGGCCATCGTTTTCATGCATTGATCACTAGCAGGGACTTTGTGGATGGCGTTCTAGTTAAAATAATCTCCCCTAAAAACAACCCGCCTACAATCGTACAAGACAAAGTACTCGCGCTGATTCAGGTAAGATAACGCTTAGGTGGCTTGTGTGTAAGGTAGGTTGGTTGCCTTGTGTTGTACATGTCATAAAGCTTAAAGGCTGGTATCTCTGAGTAAGTCAGTTATTGAGAGGTTTAGTCAGGTTTGCATTGAAGGTGTTTAGTAAAGTGTGTGTGGGTGGGTGTGTGTCATGTCATCCCCAGGCAGAGCCTCAGGTAAAGTACTGTGTCGTCAGGGCTTCTGCCAGGAGCCGCTCTAGTTACCTGTCAGGGCTCGGGTTACGCTGCAGGCTCATGTGGGCTGCTCTTATTTCCACCAGGGGAACCATGTGACTACAGCTTAGCATGGATCCAGGAGGGGGCGGGGGGCACAACAGTAGCTGTGAGACAGAGGAGAGGAGCTAATTGTATCTTGTTTGTCTCATCATTAGGAGGTTCAGCTGGGAAACTGCCTGGTGTTAGAAAATGTACCGAACAGCAGTATTCCCTTAACCCTTAGATGCCCGGGTGACTGGACCCTACACTCTTCCATAAGTGGGTCCAAAAAGGACCTGCATTAGAATAACATTAGTTTTTATGCCATTTTTGTCATTT